GAGGTTTTTAATAGTACCGTCAAATGGCGCTTATTCAGCAATGATGTGCGAACTGACATTCATTTGGGTTTTGCCATGGCCACTGGTACCTAGCACAATAGAAGATGATGTAATTGTTAATATCCAATCATCACAACTCAGGTCATCACTCCATTAGTTTTGTCATGAAAGTGACTTTAACTCTACCAGCATCAGATACTTCATCAATGAGTTTTGTTCATCAGAAAGTCAGAGTGGGGATGTTCACTGATGATTGCATGTTGTTCAGTGCCATTTATGAATCTAATATTCAAACAGTCCTTGCCTGTATAGCAAGACTTGATAAGTGGTAACATTTTCTACCATATTTGTCAGGCAATGCCATCACGAAAGAAGGAAAGTCTAACTATCTTCCTCTGTCATTCGAAGCCATTATCATCACTGAATTCCCCATTACCAACATGAAGGGTTACCATTGACAACAAACCTTACTAAACTAGCCATATAAATATATGATCAGGAGAGGGAGTGGGAATTTTGCGATGAGTAACTCACCTCCTAACTCCCAAATCTGAGTGAAGAAATTTCTCTTCATCTCATTCCTAAATGATTGATCACTTTATCCTGAGATTTGTATCCTTGTGTTCTAGGCTCCCACTTAGGAAACAAATTGCCAACGTTTACCTCACCAGTCATACAGTTATAGAGACATACAGCACGAAAAGTCAGAGGAATGTACGTATGTCATTAATATGAGTTGTCAGTAACTGAAGCCCAACACTGACCCGAGTGACAGTCTCATAGTCACAGTCTACCAACTTAAAAAGTATTTTAAGATATCACTCTGTACAACTATATATTTTTTCCAAGATTAGAAGAGTATGTAATTTTTCAAGAAGGGCATAGTTAGGCATAGTTGCATTTTTTATGCTTTTCTTAATAATCTTTGTCAAAGTAAGGTATTTTGATGATAAACTAGTCCTTTATTTGCTAATTGAAGGAACCTGCCTGACTTTGATCCTGATATTGACCTAGAACCTAAACCATATCAATGTCACTAGCAATATCACCTTTATCAAATTCAGTGTTCAGTGGAAGAATGGGATAAGAAAAGGATTCCAGTCACCCTGTCTAACTGGGTTATAACAACATATTAAACACAATAGCTATCAAACACAGCATTCCTTAAATCACTGGGTAAAAATCCTGATAGTGTTATGTGGATGATATTGCAGCAGTACAAGAAGGTGGCAGACCACCATCTTCTTGAGGGCAGTCAGAGATGGATAACAAATGCTGGGCAAGCCAGCAGTACTCTTATTTCATGAACATGATAGAAATGAATTCCTCCTCATTGGTAGGACGCCAATTCAGTAAGCATTTCCTGGTGTTTGCCAATCACCTGTCTTCTGTAATAAAAACAAAAAATGCTGGAAATACGCAACAGGACAGGTGGCATTGTGGAGACAGAAACAGATTTAATCCTACGAAGCTGTGTTTAGCGTGAAAAGAGTGCAGAAGGCCGAGAGTAGCCAAGCCCTGGTCCTAGTTTTCTCATCTCATCTAAATTGTTTCTACCTATCAAATTGTTTGCCCTTAATATCTTGAAAACGTGGATCTAATCACCCTTGAACTTTGCATGGAATACAACTATAGTTTGTGCAACGTCTCTTCCATAATTTAACTTTTTAAATTCCAGGCAGTTCTCCAGCTGTTAAGGCCAACATTACATTAATTTTCTGATGACTTGCTGCACTTGTTTGTACATTATTAATAGGCTGTATACTTGGGCTCCTAAATCACTCTTTTTCTGGCTTTTCACCATTTAGCATCTTCTATCCTTTTTAAGCTCAAAGTGGATGTCTTCAGAAAGGAGTTCATTGAAATCCTCTTGCCACAGTTTTACCCATTCACTCAACTCACCTAACAATATATATTTTCTTTGAAAAATACATTTATGATGTGTTTTCATGACTACTGGATTTGCAATGTATTAAGTACTTCTGGAAGGTAGACACTGTTGTAATGTTGGGAGTGTAATATTAATCTTTTATCTATAATGTTTATAACAACATCTATCTTTATTTCATTGGGAAATTCAGAAATATGGCCTTCTATTCTGTCAATCTGAGTCATTAATAAAAATGATGAGTGATCAAGGCCCTAACACAGGGCATCATTAGGCAGATCCTGCCAATTAGATTGGCGGTGGTTGTTACAGTTCACTCAGAGTCTTCACTTCTACATATATGTTGTATTCTGGGCAATGGATTTTTTTTAACTTGTTGAATATGGATGTCACTGGCCAAGCCAGTATTTATTGCCTATCCCTGATTGCCCAGAGGGTGGTTGGGAGTCAACCACATTGCTGTTGTTCTGGAGTTGCATATAGGATGGCAAATTTCCTTCCCTGAAGGGCATTAATGAACCAGATGGATTTTTTCTGACAATTGGCAGTCCCACTTTTTTTGATAAACCCAGGTTTCCAGAACATTACCTGGGTCTCTAGATGAGTAGTCTAATGATAATACCACTAGGTCATCTCCTCCCCCAACTAGTGAGACGTTAGGTTCCAGCTTTCTTTCTTATCATGGGGTAGTATAGTGGTAATGTTGCTGGGTTGGTAAACCTGATGATCTGGATTCAAATCCCACCATAGCAGCTAATGGAATTTAAATTAAGTAAATCTGGAATTGAAAGCTATATGCAGTAATGTGTCTGTTGGAACAGAAGAAGCTGAGGGGAGATTGTTTGAGAGGTACTAAATTGTGAAGGGCTTGGATGTAGTGGATGCGACGGGCCTATTTACCTTAGCAGGGAGAGGAAATGTGTTTGAATTGATTGGAGAAAGATTAGAGGGGAGATGAGGAAAGCCATTTTTAACCGAGAATGTGTTAGTGATCTGGAACTTAATAAACTGAAAGCAAGGTGGCAGAAATGCTTAATTCATTTAAACAGCATCTGGATCTGTACCTCAATTGCTGCAACCCGCAAGGCTACGGACCAAATGTTGGAAAGTCGGATTAGGCTTGGTGACTATTTTTTTTGGCCTGCACAGACATGATGGGCCAAATGGTCTCTTTCTGTATTGTAAACCTTTTATGATTCTGTGATTCAATTCCATATGTTGCATTGTTGTCCAATGGTTTGTTTATGATGAACTTTACCAAAATGCCTTCTGGAAGTCCATACCTTTAGCAACATTCTCTTTTCCACTATTGCAGATACCTTTCAAAAAACTTAATCAGATTCACCGGATGTAACCTTTCTACTACACTATATTACAGTGCAGCCTTGACATCTTTAAAATGCTTGAAATTTTTCACCAAATTTAACAAATTTTGCTGCGTTTGTTTGCTGCGTTTGTTAGTGAATATCCTGCTCTGACCATGTAAGAATGAAGAATGGCTTTAATTAGTTGATCCGTGATTAGTTGATACCTTAACATCCATCCTTCCTTCCTCTACCCCTTTGTGTTTAAATTATTTTATTTACAGGACAGTAATGTGTGTTTTTAGGGTCACTGCCTAAATTGCTTCAATTAGCTGTATTTTCTCTGTTAGCACAAACAGAGGTCAATGCAGTGGTGAAATTGTTTGTTTTATTTTAGAGTGTGGTTCTCAACTGTGTGCTGTTGAGCCTGTCTAGGGGTATTGTTTTAAAGAAAGGATTAAACCTGGTAAGTTATTATGTGGCACATTAATTTTGACTCAAAGGAGAAAATATTTTAATTTGTTTCACTGGTTAATAAGTTACTATGATTGCATTGACAATCAAGTGTCTTAAAATAGCATGAATAAGTGTTTTTCCTTGTTTTATTTAATTTTCTATACTTTAGCTGGAACATCAGCATTTTATCATAAATTGCGTGGGGCTTCGCTATGAAATCTTTAAGCCAAAAGTTAATTTGTCTTGTCTGCCTTCCCTGATCATAGGCTTGCTAAAAGCCTGAGGAAATAATTTCATTGGCTCTAAGATTTTTCTTACAACTTATACAGTGATCACATCAGTCTAGACATTTTTAGCCATGGTAGGGAAATGCTGTGCTTTAGGCTGATGAACATTTAAAAGGATTAAGGAAGGATGTCAGAACCAGTTTGTGCTCTTCATTGGCAAAGCATAACCATAACGTCATTATTAACTCTGTTTGCTTTGAGAGAAGATTGTCTCAAACTAGACAATAGATCAAAGGTTTTAATACTGATTTTCAAAGCTGAGGTGGCCTCTGTTCAGTAACCATGAACTGACCAAACCTGACAATGTCAATAGACATTGCGTTCCATGGATACAATCCATATAAACTGTGCACAGCAATCTGTTAAATCAAAATCATTTTTATATGATGATTATCAAGTAACTTTAAATATTTATGCATTGTGCAAAAAATTAAAACACTTGTATTACCTTGCAGAACACTGTGAATCAAAGTGTCCACTTTTTTTTCCTTTTCTCAATACTTTTACTTTTAAAGATCATTTCTAAGGGAAGTTATGTGACTGAACAATGGCTGTATTTTTTCTGAAGCCATTGACATTTATAAGCAGCCAAAGCACTGACCTAAAGTTCAAATTGTAAAAAACAGTCTTAGTATAGCATTGTGCCACTGCAATAGTCTCTAAAGTGCATTACAGGATCTTGAAGCAAGCATTACCTTACAATGCATGTTTTTGCTTTGCTTGATTTGCCTGATAACAAGGAATAGTTTTTCCATTTGAGTAACACATTCTTCATTTATTGTGCACAATACTACCCGTGGTCACATGCCGAGTGTTAATTCTTGGCATTTCAAGTGAGAGCCTGGGTTTCAATGAAGAAATATGTCGTAGGCTTTTAATCGTCAGAATGTGACTCTGAATTCATTCAACCCGGAAAAGTGGAAGGATCTGCTATCCACAAATGACTTTATTAGCATTTGAAGTCAATTCAGTGCAGGCTGTTCAAGTGGAGACTGTCCAAGTCATAAGTAGACACGTTGCACAACTCGTTACCATTTATGCAACAGTCTTGCTTAGGGACTGAGTCAGGCATACCCTGATGTTCTGTGCTGTGAAAAGCAACTCAAGAAAATTATGGAGGTAACTACCTTTAGCTATCATTATAATAAAGTTAGATAAAATGTTGTATTTTGTTGATTCTCTACCTGAAAGTTCACTCCAGACTGACCACCCTGATGTTTTGCATTTGGAATTATGCCTCCAAACCTTTACTGATGATGCTTGTCAGTAGTGCATTTTTTTTACATTTCTGTGCCGTGTGCTAATAGTTAAAACTATTGGTGGCTAATAAGTTTCTGAAGTACAAATTTACTGTATTTAAAATAATCTTGACCAATTTGGAGCATACAGGTAGAGTACAATCAGTAGCAAACAGTTGTGCATTTGTATTCTAACAATTGCTATGTACATAGAGTAGCACTGTAATTACTTCAATGCATTGATGAATTTATTTAAAGATACAGTAATCTAATCAATATCATCATTAATAATGTACAATACTAATCAATAGTGATTATATTTGACATCTACCATAGACCAATACAAAATGAAACTTGCTTTGTATTTTGCATTAAATTTCAATGAAATTTGCAAGATCTGAGCCATCAGGTGCATGAGTGTTGTTTTTCCCACAAGTGTAACAAATTCATCACCCAAATTTGAATGTTACTTTGATTTTTGATTCTTCTTAATTTTATTCCTTCTCATGAGTATGAAAAAAAAGGATTAGATTTTGGTTTCAGTGTTGTCTTTTCATCATCTGTGATCTATAACGTGAATAGCCAAAGCCTTTTTCCAAGGATGGGGGAAGGAGTCCAAAACTAGAGGTTATATGTTTAAGATGAGAAGGGAAAGATTTAAAAGGGCCCTAAGGGGCAGCTTTTTCATGCAGAGAGTGGTGCATGTATGGGATGAACTGCTGGAGGAAGTGGTGGAGGTTGGTACAATTACAACATTTAAAAGACATTTGGACATGAATAGGAAAAATTTAGAGTGATATGGGCAAAATGCTGGCAAACAGGACTAGTTCAGTTTAGGATACCTGGTTGGCATAGGCAAGTTGGGCCAAAGTGTCTGTTTTTGTGCTATATGTCTCTAGGACTCTATGACTATCTATTCTTCTCCATTAATCAGAATTTCACCGGAACAGTCAGAAATATGAACTACATATGATGAAATGGGGGTCCCTGATTTACAAATTCTCATACTTACGAAAACGATCTTATACAGGGGTGTAATTTTAAAGATCTGACAGACACCCTTTTCCTGTACTTACAAGCAGCTATTTTATACTGACCTAAATTGTGTTCCGACTTGCAAACAAATCAACTTGAGAACAGTCTCCAGAACCAGACCTGTTCACTACCTGGGTACTGCCTGTATTTGTAATTGGAAAAATACTTTATTGCAAAATCACCGCTTCTTTGCTTAGTTTATTTCTAAAGAGCAGAAACTATCCTACTGAGTATAACACAGTTACAGCTATTAAGGTAATGGTCTTAATTTTGTTTTGAGGCATTACTTTCTGAAATTGATAAATTAATAAATTTGGTCGAACAGCTCAGCAGTTTATTAGTTCTGTTTTAAATGTCTGTGTTTGAGTACAGTACATTACTGTGGTGTTTCCATCTTTCCCTCCTCCTCTAACCAAAACAAAAGGAAAGAAGTTGTTAGAAAATTTGTTGTAACCTAAAAGGTACTTGATCTGTTTGTAAAGATTGCACTGTAATTTAAGTAACCAGTTAATTAGAAATTACCAATAAAATATTTTGAGAGGGGCTGCTGTGTGGTGGAAGTGCTGCTGGTTGCTAAAAGTGCCGGCTTAGGTAAATATCAGGCTTCAGCCCATCATGGTCCAGTCCATGAACTGAGTGTGTGCCCTTGAGCACATAGTGTCTTTGCTGCAGCATTGCAACGATAGCTGCCAGTGTAGCCCAAGGTGCAGCATTGAAATGCAGAAGCATCCTGTAGGTAGATTGGAGATGTGCCATGAGAGTTCACAGAGGCTGGCACATGTGAGATGTCAAGGGCATGAGGTGCATGTGGCTTGTGCCCATGGAGCATGCCTGTGATGTTGGTGCCCAGTGACCAACATGAAGCTCTTTTGGAGCAAGCAGCAAGTTGAACCTGCCAAGACCTTCCTCTGTTTTCCCTGTTGAGTATTCCTAATGGCTGGTTTGTCTGGCGAGTTTGGTAAGATTACGACCCATGGTGAGTTAGACTGTTAACAAGATGTTTAACAAGCAAAAATGAGTGTCAGTTGGGAACTCACCACCATGTCTCTTGAAAAAAGTGAACAAGATGCAGTGAGATGATGTCAATGTCGCGATGGAGCTCACTAAACATCTTGCACAAATTTCCTCCTCATTTCCCATAGCCCATTGCTCAGAGCCTGATAAGCTTCATTCTATGTTCCTCTCTTCTCAGATGCAGCCAGACCTGCTGGGTTTCTGCAACACTTTCTGTTTTAATTCTGTTGTCTAATCTGGTTAGTAGTTGTGAGCATGAATGACGGTCTTTCATCATTAATCTGTCCCTCCCTTCCCACTTCTTATCCGACTGCCAGACCTTGGATATCTGAAAGGAGAGAAGTGCAAGGGTAGAGTTGTTGTGAAGGGAATGGGAAAGAGCAAGAGGTACCTCTTCAAATAACCTGCTGTTTGTAAATCAGAAGAGAATGTAGGATGAGGGAAAAATGTGATATGATAAAGATTAGCTACAGCATACAAGCATCTTCAGTTGTTCGAAACTTCTTGATCATGACCTCTGTCATAGATGCTACAATTGATGATGAGCATGATCCCCTCCATATGATTGAATTATGTCATTCAAACATATTCTATTGAAATGTGGAATTTCTGTCTGAACAGTTCTATGAATGTCAAAGGAACAGGGAGTTTACATGCGATACAGGCTTGACAGATTAGTCTACAATCAGAAAACTTAGGTGTTCTGAAAGAATCACTGTTTAGAACTAAAAATGTAAGTAAACATTACAATTACCACGACTCATGATTTGAAAGAAAATTCATTAGTGTTAAAGCGATTCCCAAATTGCTGTTACTAAAAAAAAGGAGTTAGTCATGATCTTCTTAACTAACTTTCATCAGAATTTATTCATTCATGGGATGTGGATGTCACTGAGTAGGGCAGCATTTATTGTCCATCACTAGTTGCCCCAGAGGACAATAAGAGTCAACCACACTTTCAAAATAAATATCATCATAGCACTGTTAATCATGATGTAGTTGCCACAGTATAATATGTTCTGTTTTCAGGTGTGATATTTGAGCACAGGAAAGTTTCACATTTTCCTGGCCTTCTGCCATCTCACAACCTGTGATGTAAAATTAAACCAGTAGGTATAACTTGAGTGACTGGATTATCCAAATGATATGGCTGCTTTGTCAGAAACCCTGTTTATAAATAGGTATTTTCAAAAGAATTATGCATTCTAATCCAAATTTAGAATTGATAAAAGAACCAAAATTCAATGGATCAAACCTACTTACCATGTTTGTGATTTAGACCTTAATTTTTTCTAGTTAAACAATTCTTAAACTGTATCTTTTAGCTTCTAACCAAGCAGTAACAGAGTTACAGGCAAGGCAAGTTATTAAAATGGAGATAACCCAAAAGAAAAGTGACTCAAAACAAATCAAATTTGCTTTTGTTTATAGAGACTTCAAGTTAATGAATTGAATAGAGTCCAATGGAGTGCCATGCAGGCTTTGGCCAGTTCATGTTGAATTTGGAAGTGGGGTTCAGAAATGAACATTCAGGTCCTGTTTAGCAAGATTAAGATGTCTCCTGCCCATTTCATATTAGCAGGCTAGAAGCCTGATGGAAGTCACCAATTTCTAAATTGGCAGATGGTATACTTTTGGGGAATTGGCAGCATATGATTGTGCTTGAAAATTGATCCACAGTCCATGGTCCCTCCCACATGAATACTAATATTAGATCAATGAACAATCGCACAGGCTCCACTTTCTTTCTTATTAGGTCCCGTCTTAAATTCCTGGATGGGAGTCAGACCTTTGAGCTGAGTCAGACCCAAACTGACCTGTATTTTCATATTTATTTCTGCTCTATCTTAAGTGGGAAAGTATTAAGTGGGCTTGTATTTGGTTATTCCACTCACTGACAAACTAAGATTTAAATTCTTATCATAGTAAGTTAAGTGCATGCATTTATATCCTACCATATTAGCACTGACTATATTGCTTTTAGGTTGAATGTCCATATCAGTGACCAAACTCTGATACAGAAATCGATATCAATATTAATGTAAATCTTCACTGAGTGCCAAGTTCAGAAAGGCTATATAAAATAAGGAACTTGGTGTTTCGTTGGTAGCTTTGAAAATTGCAGAACTTGCTCAGTAACTGCCTTGAATGACTTTGAGAATCTGTTCCTTCGGGAAGATAAACCTAGTGCCAGGCAATGATCATTTCCATTAAGAGACAATCTGATCATTTACTCTTGCCATACATCAGCATTACTATCTCTGAATCACTCACTATCAGTATCCTATGGGATTGTTACTGATGAGAAACTTGACTATCTTCACGTACATACTGTGGCTACAAGAGTTCTGTTACAAGAAACTCACTTCCACTTGCCATAGCGTGATTTGAACCCAGGTCCTCAGAACATTACCTGGGTCTTTTTAAAAAGCACTTAGGTTCTCTGCTTCCACCACCATCTCAGGCATCAAATTCCAGACACCCACCACCTCTCTGTGTAAAACGTTTTTCCTCATATTCCCCTCTAATCCTTCTGCCACATAGCTTGGATCTTTGACTTCTGGTTTTTGAACTCTCTGCCAAGAGAAACAAGTCCCTCTGGCCTAGTCACTCTCTACCCCTCACGATTTTGTATACCTCAATCATGTCACCCCTCAGCAACCTCTTTTCCAGGAAAAATAATCCAAACTTCTCCAATCTCTCCTCATAGCTACAATTCTCCAACCCTGGCAACATTCTAGTAAATCTTCTCTGCAGTCTCTCCAAGTCAATTGTGTTCTTCCTGTACAAAAACAGAAAATGCTGGGAAAATCAATTGCTGGAAAAATCAAT